GTGTGATTGTATGCAAGTTTTGATTGGTCAAATGTAAACATGTGATTGTATGCAAGTTCTGATTGGTCAAATGCTAATGTGTGATTGTATGCAAGTTCTGATTGGTCAAATGCTAATGTGTGATTGTATGCATGTTGTGATTGGTCAAATGTAAACATGTGATTGTATGCAAGTTCTGATTGGTCAAATGCTAATGTGTGATTGTATGCATGTTGTGATTGGTCAAATGTAAACATGTGATTGTATGCAAGTTGTGATTGGTCAAATGTAAACATGTGATTGTATGCAAGTTCTGATTGGTCGAATGCTAATGTGTGATTGTATGCATGTTGTGATTGGTCAAATGTGAGTGTGTGATTGTGTGTACGTTGTGATTGGTTATATGTGAATGTGTGATTGTATGCAGGTTGTGATTGGTCAAATGTAAAAATGTGATTGTATGCAAGTTGAGATTGGTCAAATGCTAATGTGTAATTGTATGCAAGTTGTGATTGGTCAAATGTAAACATGTGATTGTATGTAAGTTGAGATTGATCAAATGCTAATGTGTGATTGTATGCAAGTTGTGATTGGTCAAATGTAAACATGTGATTGTATGTAAGTTGAGATTGATCAAATGCTAATGTGTGATTGTATACAAGTTGTGATTGGTCAAATGTAAACATGTGATTGTATGTAAGTTGAGATTGATCAAATGCTAATGTGTGATTGTATGCAAGTTGTGATTGATCAAATGCTAATGTGTATTGTATGCAAGTGTGATTTGTCAAATGTAAACATGTGATTGTATGCAAGTTGTGATTTGTCAAATGTGAATGAGCATTAGTAAATGCATATGCTATGATTGGTCAAATTCTTAATAGTTGATAATTGATAATTGTTGAAAGGTCAAACTCAAATATGACAGTGAGCCCCTACATTGACAGACCATGTCATAAATCAGTGTTCAATATGTACTATTTCAATAATGATACATGCAACTTATAAACAAAACTATTTTCTTTTTGTCTTCCAGCAAAGCCACAAGAGCATTAATCCTAGTGGTATAGTTGCTATTGGTCCTGACCTTGACTTTGATGCTCCACATGGCCTTGGAAAATAACACCAAATACAAGTTTTTCATATTTAGGTGCTTCTCTTCAAGGAAATATTTTTAAAATAAACAGGTCTATTTTGCTACTGGGTGTCTATTAACCAATTGTTATACCGGTATATGTATTAAACAATGCCTTTGTACATGTAACCATAGATTCTTTACTGTAAGGTATATGATGCAACATACAATTGTGACTACTGTATATATTTGTCAGCATCCTTTATTTCATGTTTTTGTCATATTACCCCAAACCCTGCAAATGGAAGTGTGCATGGAATCATGGGAAGAAACGGTGTGTATTGTGATAACTGTCATAAAGGTGATTGACAGGTCATACTTATTTTCAACTCTGGAAGGACAGTGGGTTCTACCAGGTGTGCTTGTAATTTACATAACAAAGGATGTATTTTTACAACTTGGAATCTACCAGGTGTGCTGTTATTTGAATAACAAAGGATGTTTATGATCTACTGAGTTGCCTATGTGACACAGCTGCTAGCAAGATTACATTCTGATTGGCTCATGTGGAAACATTTCAACTTGATGTCCATCATTTAACTTGCTTTCCTGTGTGTTCTGCTACGATATTGTTTGACAAGTGATACAGGCTACAACCATCATTCTGTGAGACTTATGAACTGCTCTGCGCTCTCCTGCTTTCAGCAGTGCCCTCCAGAATACGAGCGTTCCTCTGCAAGCAAGACTCCTGTATTTCTCCGTTGTTGTGTTGCAGAAGCCATTGACTGTCGTACAATAATGCATCCAGGAACTGTTAGTTATCACTAATGCACACTTCCCTAAGCATTCCCTATTTTAGTGACTTTATTTATTGTATTTTTCTGTGCTTTATTTCTTGTAATTATGTTGAGAGGTATTAAAGTTAGGAGCAATCTGATTAAAATCTGATGTAGTGTATGGGCTTTAATTATTTTGGCTATAAACTTATTTTAATTCTATGTTTTATTACTTTTGTTATTAATGCCCTTTTATTTTATTTTATTATTTTACTTTTATTTCGATTTTGTAATTTTTTTTTAATTCCACCCTACCTACATCTGACCCGATGTCTAAGTAACGAGATTTCAATGAGACACATTCAGGAGGTTATATCATTGTGTTTTTCAACTTTATCATCATCATCAGTCGGCTCAACATACTTTTTCACACATGCTATGGTTATATTTGATAGTCACTTAACTTTGTCTGTCACTAGGAATGGCGTATCTACACACAGTGTGGATAATTTGTTCCTTTTGCCTCTGGTGTAGTAATACTTTGTCTCCTGGACAGATGCTACTTTCTCTGACATTTCTATGTACATCGAAGTCTCTATCTCTTGTCACTTTGTCATCTTCTCTCAACCTGGTTCCTCCTGTTTCTGGAGGCTTTTTTTGTTCTTAACTTTCTTTTGAACATTGATTCTGCTGAAGACATTCCTGTAGTTGTGTGCGGTGTGGACAATATGCTACAAGGAACGTATTCTTGACTCCTTATGCAGATTGCGTTTGACTTGATAGATTGCATAGACTTGATTTCCAAAGACGCAGGTCGTTTAGATCGAACAATTTCAAGTTCGTTGTATGCCTAGAATTATGGCAACGTTGTTATTTTGGTGAATATTCAACTAAAGGATTTGGATATGCCAATCGAACAACTCTGTACTGAAACGTCTCCAGTATAAAAAGTTCTCTACTCTCCGAAATTTGACAATGGCTCTTGTCCAAAATGGACTTCCTCAATGCAGTGCTATGGGACCGTGATAAAATCGATAATGTTGAGGTCGCCGTATGTAAAAACAACACTTGACAACATTCAGTCTCGGACAACTAAGCAAATGGATGGAAATACCAGTTAAATCAATCATGAAGACTGATGATTAGATTGATGGCCTGATGGCCGGAATAGCTATATTGTTCATTTCTATATGCAATTGTGATTCTCAATTTCTATGTGTAAAATATCGCTGGTATGGACAGCGACAGTTGACAGACTATTTTGAATCTGTAAGCTTTCTTGACACGAGCAACTGACTTTATTTTTTTACTATTCTGACTTTTACACTGACAAGTAAACGATCCGGCGCATAGTCAACATGAGACTTTGGATAACAGGTAGGACCTGAAGGTAGCGTCAACATACAGCATTAATGGGCAAGTGTCATTGAGTGACAATCCTTTTTTTTAAATCTCATTTATCAGGTTTTCCGCATGAAGTAACACGTTATCATTATAGCAAGAGAAAATAAGAATTTCTTTTGTCCAAGTTGTATAATGGACTCTATAATTAATATATCATGGGTATTAAATATGCACACCATTAAAATGATAAAAACCTCAAATGCAACCGTTGTACAAATACAGAGTAAACAAAATTATCGAGAGTGATTTTGGATTACCGGTAGTTAAAATTTTGCCAACATGATGTGACATTATATATAAATGGTGGTGGGAATTACCAAGCCATTTTATAAAATAGTAAACAAATATTTTTGTAACAAACACTAACTGTGAAATACACCCATCATTGTCGCTGAAGAAATATTTAATATTGCAATTTCTTAATTTTATTTTGTTGTAACACATTAGTGATACAGTGACCCCTCGCTAAATCGCGGGTGTCGGGATCCAAACAAAAAACGCGACATATCAGGGTTCGTGTGGGGGGGGGGGGAGTTCATGCGTTGAAAACGGATAAATAGCACATATACAACACATGTGTTTGTAGTAAGTTTTCTTTATTGAATAACATCACAGCTTCCATGCCCACATAGATTCAACTCATTGTAGTGAATTTTATAGAGCTATATCAAAAGCCAAGTACGTAAAGTCGCCATTTGACATCCCGTCAACACCCTGATTCAGGCGGCTTTCACCCTTTGTATCTCAGTAATTGACGAACAGTAAGTGTTAAGTTGTCCCCTCCAACCTTTTTACAGTTAATTAAATACAGGATGCAACGAAACATAGTTCTTTTACTTACTGGGATGTAACTTTTACTTACTTCTGTTACATCCAAGTTAACGTATTCCAATTTAATAGCTTACACAACATATTCGGATATATTACATCCCAGTTAACGTATATGCATTTTTACTGCCATAAAAATATGAAGTTACACAGATAGGGAAAATGTCTCATGACATGGAAAAATAATGCTTTCTTTTGTCCAGGTTATATGATAAATATTGTGAGTGTGTGTTGTATTAACATATGCAATCATAGTACACATGCAAAGTAATTTCCACGCCAGTTTATAAAATTGTGAACAAATATTTTCGTAAAAAACACTAATTCTCAATAGTGTGTATCATTTATGCATATAATTACATATCTCATATACTTTATATCATTTTAATTATACATGGTATTCCCAGATTAACACCGGTTATTGATAACACATACAACATTAGATTCTTAACTCCGATGAAAAGACAAGTATCTGCCACTCACCACGAAAGCCAATCATCGCGAAGGCCAATCATCCCGACACTACTAGTATGAAAAAATATAAATTTACTGCAATGAGAGTATCTGATGAATTTGTCATAACATTTGGTAGGATCATGAGTTGCAATGTGCTTGTCAGCTTATTTACACAAATCATTTATCATTGTTTGCATAATTCCGGTTATTACTTATTGTCCCAGAAAAAAAACGTCATTAAATCGCGTCATAAAAGATAACGCTATTTATGTAAATATGTTACAAAAAAAATGACGAACGGATCAATAAACGTGTCAAAACACCAAACCTGCAAGTATTACAGCGACAAACTCGGGCTTCAAATTACCAAATGTAAATAAAGGTGCCAAAAATGCCAAACGTTCAACAGGTTAGTTTTCAAAAATGCCTAATGTTCAAAAATGAAAAATCGTCTTGTCTTGGCCATTAATGTACATTTCTGGATTACGTTAGAGTGCAAAACTTTCTGGAGGAAGGATCTTCATTACCCACCGCAATAAAAATATTAACCACGTGGCAACTCAATCGCGATGGATGTCACGTGATTAAACTGCGCTTTCAGTGAATAACGCTCTCAACATTGAAAATTACTTTAAAATGGCAAAGGCGTGGAGATGTGGACATCGAGTTACGAACAATGATTTACAAAAACATAAAGTTACAAAAATGACCACGCTTATAATTTAGAAACCACGCCCTAATTATAAATCAATGTTTTATTAACATTTAACCAAACTTCGAGTTACGGGCTAAATAAACTTGTTTTGTTCAAAGTTTTATGTTTCCCATAATCTGATGTTCATTAACAGTTAATTAAAATTTAAAGTTATTAAATATGCACATTGAACAAAACTAAAAATGTATATTGCCAGTAACTTAGAGTTATGTTACAATTTAGGCGTGGTTTCGCAAAAGTGGGCCTGGTTTCTTAAATATGGTCGTGGTCATTTTTGTAACTCGATGTCCGTAACTCGAACAATTCAACATCTCATACGCGTGTAGTTTCATTGGAACTGCTTTGGAACTTTTTTGGGGGGTCGTTTCATTGTATTGAACCATAATCCAGGATTAGTTTACGTCGTATACCCGTGTTTAGTGTTCCTATATATTCCATTTTATTACTCGATGTATATCGTACATACATGTGGGTTTCATTAAATTGTTCATTTAACTGGAAATGTGTTGTATGTATAGGTCTGAGTGGCTCCAAGTGCAGTATACTGTTTTTTGTGTGTGCGCGCGCCTCATTTGTAAAGATCATGATTGGAAATGTCGGACCGTCGCCTGTAACTAGTTGATACGTACATTAACCTTAAATATAACATTAATTTGGGAAGGGATAATGAAACATAAATACATAATACAAGCTATTGGAAATGTGATGAAACAGCAACTTGTGAATGAAGAACATTATGGATGCTGTCTTTGAAAACTTCGGGAGGAAGAGATCTTCACAAAATATTTGATTTATTCGGTATAATACAAATATTGACCCCCAGCCTCGGTCGATAATGTTTTCTTCAGGTCGACACATTTGTATATCGAACTTGGCTTGGGTCAATATTTCTATAATATTTAATATACCATTAGGTTTCGACAATTATCAAATACTATGCTGAAACTACAAGAAAAACGATGTATCGAAGAAAAAAAGAATTTAATGTTCAGTTTGTTTCCACTTTATTATTATAGTCCAAACCTGTGTCACACTTACATTCATTAAAATACACAGTCATCGAATACAATAAAAGCAGTATACAAATCAATGTTTTGTGTTTCCAAATATGTTATAACTTGTTTTCTTCAACTAATTATTTTTTATAAAAGTATATCATACTATTTATTTATCGATATATCAAAAATCATGGGATATTATTTAAAATGCATAGCTGTGAGCGTTAAATGGTGCATAAATATGCAAATTTATGAATCAAAATAGATGTTAGAATTCAAATTGACCAATCGAGAAACAGTATTGTGACATGAACGTTGGGTCTGAGTAATTACCAAAGAAATTATAGAAAACAAAAATTATAATCCCTAAATGTGAAAACACTTGGCGGGTGCATATATTTTTGGTGAAAACTTGGATATACATTGTATATTAGCTAAGCCTCTCATTCTTTACGAAATTGGATCTCGGTAAATAGTTTGATTTGTTAAAAAAATATGAATGAACAAAATATTAAAACCAAACACGTCCATGCCGGATACACAATTTTTTTACAAAATCACTTATTTCTATATAGCTCTTGAAATCTCATGATTCAAACAATATAACAACTTATTCACATATGTATTGTGAGTCAGAACAAAGAATTTCTGAGTCAAATCTCGCGTGACCGATACCCAAATGGTATCAACTAAATAAACACTGAATATGAATCATTTATAATTATAACATATGAGAACAAATTACAAATTATTAAAAACATTTCTAAGACAAATGAAAAACTACAAAATCTATTAGTAATCACCAACCAATTATTTGTTGCATAAATCACATATAATAGTATTGAAACGGAACTTATGGCAATTATTTATTTGTATAGTACAGACCACAACATGATGACCAATCAGTGGTGGTGTTCTTCTATGGTAATATCAGATTGGGAAGAGGCCGGCAGTTATAATTTGATTGATTCATTCGGAATCAATTCTAAATAAAGGAGAGCGACCAGTTGTGTAGCCACACACTAACCGACAGGTCATATGTACCCAACGATAGGACTACGTGTACTAGACTTGATACCACAAGTGACCATGGAAGATCCTTGATCCCTGGACTGCACAGGTAACTTGTTGTACACGCAAAATGGTTGAGAAATTTTCACCTCCTAACCATTCTAATTCAATCTATTTTGATTTTACTTGTATGAAATAACATATTGTGGATAAGTTTGGCTGTTGTCAAATATGATATATATACTAGGATCTGATGTGGAATTTACACATGAATCATAAGAATCACCGAAGGGATTACTGGGATTTTTTGGTGGCGGTTTAACAAGATCCTCATTTCCAGCAGTGTATGACCCCACCAACACCCGAGCCAAAAACATCTGATATATACCATTAGTGTCAGGGCGTGTATAATTGTGAGAATATGTGGCATCTCTGGCGAAGTAACTGCCCTTGCCATAGGCTGTTCCACTGCTTGTACCACTAACACGCCAATCAAAGTTTTGCTGACATATAGCGTCAACAAACTCATGTCTGGTGCCATGAAACAAGTGCCGTTCTTCTACTTTCCGATCCATGTTTTTCTTCATCATCCACCTTTCTTTTCTGCAAGGATACAATTCAATAAAATTACATAATGGTGTACCAACTCAGATGAGAATATGTCACATGAATTAGACCTGTCGGGCCGAATATGCGGCTCCTATAGGTAGGTATAGTATATAGTGGTGGGTAGGTTGTAGGAACAGTGGCAAATACTTAGACGACACGAGGTTTACATATTGACTGCTCACTAAGAACTCCACTTTATTCACAATTAAAATTCGTTTATATAACTTATATTGGTACAATTACACAACAAAAAAGTACAGGGTAAATATTAATTAGTGAGTGGATAGCTGCAACGATTAAGGTGTCTGATTAATTTAAATTCTGACATAAACATCGATAGGTTTAGGGTAAGGATAAACTAAGCATGTTGCATAAACAATGTAACAATGAAAGAATGAAATCCTGACACAGAGTTCGAATGTTGGTATCGACTGCACATATAGAACGTGGCAGATATGCGCAATTATTTTCATTTCATATGATGGAAAAACATTTAAAACATAGAATGTATTAATTCAACATTTGCAACAACGATATACACCATGTCAACAACAAAATATGTTAAGGTTTGATGAAAAACATTGCATAGAAACAGATGCAAAAACCTGACAGATCAGACCACTAATAAACAGACCCGTAACGCTATTGTCAATCGGCCTAATACCCGGCGATGTGGGTCTCTGCTACACTGGTGGTTCATGAATTGCCGAATTTTAACACATGCAACGTTTCATCCAGTAATAATTAGCATTCTTACCTTGTGTGATGGTCCCATAACTCTTCATTCTGAACTCTGACAATTCTAGTGATTCTAGTGGTTCGTGGAATCGTTTTATAAAACTTGGTCGTTACATCATTGTATTCTCTCGCAGTTTTACCAGTGGGGTGGATATCCACCAATCTGTAATCACCATAGTCATCTCCAGTGAGGTCCCAATGGTCAGGTACGTAATACGTTGAAGACCCTTTTGCCGCCGCAACCGCCACAGTGGTACTACCAGTACATGTTGGTCTACTTGGGCCCTGTCTAATGTCATCAAGTATAATCAACAAGGCAATAAAGTAGTATATTAGATAACATTGTATAGTGTAAGCAAATGTCACTTTTGATTGTTAGCAATATGCCATTATATTCAAAACAAAAAGGGGGCAGAAAGCGTGTCTAATGAAACATTGAATTTGACACTTGATAGTAAAAACAAAAATGAGTCATTTCCGATTAAACCTGATTAAAGCGCACGGTGACATACACGTTATTATTATTATGCAAAAGATTATTTATGCCAGATTCTGTTATATTGATTATGTAACAAAGTTTGTTCCCACAAGTCAATTGCTGTTGCTCTCTAGACGCTGACTAAATTATAAGTCAAGTTTAGAGCGAAAACTGCACACAATGTAGCTACCATGCGTGTGATGCAGTACAAGCATGTTTGTAAAACATATATATAAATTATCTTATAATAGGGTTTAGAAATGTTGTCAGCCACCCAATTGTATAATGTTGATTTTGTACCGCATTTGGAGAGTGGGTAATGAACAATGTTCATCCAAATATTTAAAAATCAAAACCCACGGATCTGACCACGAAGTGACCCTGAACGTCAACTAATTAAAACCAACTTATTTTTTACCTTATTATATCTTGCACATCATCGCGAGACATGAATTTCGGTCTTCTGCGGACGGCCCTTTTTGTCTTGTATTTCGTATTCTGTTGTTGCATTGTTTTAAACTGAAGAATGTATTCATGGTGTCCTGATGTAAAGGAGACTATACCTTCCGCCGTTTTATCCAGGTAATTCTGATACTCTTTCTCCAGTTGATCGCTATCAATTGATGACGATCCTGACTGTAATTGGATATCGACATTTGGTTACTTTCACAACTGTTGAATTGACTAGTAACGAGTTGTACAAAAACGCCTGTACCCAAATTTCTACTTTCCCAAAACCATTCTCTCCCTTGTTGTTGGAACCACTCAGGGATAATATTATTTCTTCTTTTCCGAATAGGTTAGCAAAAATCACAAAAGACTAATAATTCTCAAAAACTTCCATGAAAATAATTTTCATGGGATTGTCTCCTTCGTAATACATGATCAACGAATACCCTCTTTAATTGGTGATGGGATAATGGTGATTAGTGCGAATATGTAATGAATTAAGCATCACCTTTTCACCATACTTAATCCATTGGTTGTATTCATCTTGCCATGACCACGTCCAATGCGTTGCGAATAGGTGTCCAGTGGGCGCTCTTCCAGTGGACCACGTGGATAGACGTCTTAAACCCAGTGTTACAGAAGTGTCTATGTCATTTATTGCAGCCATATTATCAAAGTTGATTACCCACTGGACGTCACCACTGTAAAACAGAATGAAAGGGAGGATTTCCAATGTTTGACCATGTACTATAGGACTTATAAAAAGAGTTGGGTGTATTTCCCGTCATCTCGCGAGTCAGTCAGCACAGATCGACCCATGCTCAAGAAGGAGGCTCCGTGCCGGGAACGTTTAAGGATCGGACGCATGGAATCGACAGCTGTGCCTGCGTCAAAAACACAATGTAACTGAAGTGATAGTCTACATAAATAGTTTGACCAAATGTGGTTTTTGTTCTTTTGTTCAGTACTAGACCACATACCGAACATAGTACTGGCAAGTAAGAATTATGGAAAAGCCACCAAAAATTGCATCGGTGATTCACAGTCACTACTAGACCACATACCGAACATAGTACTGGCAAATAAGAATTATGGAAAAGCCACCAAAAATTGCATCGGTGATTCACAGTCACTCTACTAGGAGTGTGACTGTGGGTGATTCTTTGCAATCGGCAACACAGCGCTACATTATATGTTACGCCAACCTTGATTGGGCGCATGCTTTAGAGGCGCATCCAATCAGATCTATGGATTTTACCGGGGTAAAATACGCGACTTAGCAGTGCAATCCCGCAAAATTTTGTGAGAGAAACCTTTAATAAAAAATACGCACAAATACGCGTAGTTATAGTCTTGTTTAGTCACAAAATGGCGGTGGTGTGGTGTTCTCTGGGAAGGAGAATATATATACATGTGTCATCGATCTCCTTCCCTCAGATCTTTGCGCTTTATGCAATAATAAGTAACGTGTAATGATCGAGTTACGAGTCACGAGTTTGATTTGTTATATGACGCCTTACGAGCCGATTTTGCCTAAAATAGCGCTCGGCCACCTTTTCAAACTGTGTTTACAGACGGAACTTAATATACTTTTGACAACTTAAGTTTCTTTCTAACCACATATTTTAGTGAACAGCAAAAACTAACATGTAATGAAGCTAAATGCCCACCAGCTTTACGGTTGTGCTCATGCCACAGTCCTGGCGCGTTTCAACCCTTGGGATATTTTACTATAATAGGCTGTGTCTACATCGCGCATTAAAATTTGCATATAACATTAGCGCGTAACAAAGATTGTGATAAATGAAAGAGTTGTATAAACAAAGATCAGTGATTACTTGAAATCGATACCAGGAAGGAAAAGTTATATAACATTTATTATTTAATAATTTATTAAAATACATAAGTTTGTCCAACTCCCTGTGGTGTGTGCTGAGACAGCGCTTTCTGACGACACAACGGGCAGAGATACTTTCGGTGTTCTGACCGCAAGGATCTCTGGGAAGGAGAATACAGGCACACATCACGACAGAGCGGCATTACAATAAGGCTTTTATAAATCAGGGTGACAATGGTTTGTTCTTTCTTCTCAGACATAAGTCAGTGTTGTATTGTGACGGTACGACCTACCTGTCAAGTATGAACCAAATCGACCCAGCCACAAAAATTACAAAAGAGTTGAAAAGCCATTCCTGGTGAACAGTTTTGGGTCAATTTTCTCGGTAATGGAAAAGATATAACAAATTCTAATAGTAAGTTTGTGCCCAAACTCAAGCGGAGTAGAATGAGCTATGTCTGAGTTGTTTATCCTAAATTCGTAAGAGGAGACACATTTGGTGCGAAGCTATCAAAAAATCAGTTTTTTGGCTGTTGTTATGGCAATGGTGGGCCAACTTTTTTTTATCAGATTTTACCTAATAACTAGGGTGAAGGTGTGGCCTGCCTCCCTGCTAAGTTTGGGCGAAATCAGCATGCCAAAAAAATCACAGAAGAATTAATACATGAGAACACTAGAAAAAAAAAACTCACAAAAGGGCAATCCTAGTGGAGCAGATCGCCAATAATTATTGACAAGTTGACAATCCCTAATATTGCTAAACCGCCAGTTGGGAACTTTATTAGGATTCGTACATGGAGTTACACAGATAGAAAACAAGAAAAAATATTGATTTCTTTTGTCCAGGCTATATAATAAAATATGAATTAATTTTAATTAGTTGTATTGCAATGCATTAGTAATAATTTAAATATATATACAATTCTTTATTTCAGTGTATTTGTTTCCTACTATTATTTATTTATATTGGGGACAATTGTTATGGGGATTATTAATTTTAATAAACAATATTCAACTATCCTTTG